TTCTCGAAGTAGTAAAGCCTAATTTTGCGAATATGCGGATGGTTTTTTGAGTATATTCTCATAGAGGAAACCAAGTAGATCATTTCTAGAGAAAACCCGAACTCAATATTCGAATTCTATCGAGAGAAAAAAAAAGCCGCGAAAAAATCCGCAATAATTATACATCAACCTAATAGATTTTCAACTAGGCATTTTATCGCCCCTTAACACCTCTTACTACTTGTTATCACTCTTTGTCAGAGGTGGTGTATTGGCAAGTGGTGCACACCTCCACACGCATTATCTGAAGATCGAATACCACCCAGGCTAACCGAGCCACTCATCCCTTTCAGATCGGTCGACACACTCGTCTGGGAGGGCAAAAGCGCTGACTTGTAACTGGCCACCGCAACTTATTGTACATGCCGCATTCAGGCCACCACCAAGTTTTTGATAAAGTCGAACGTAGTGGTGCATGAGATGAATAAGATTGATTAGCCCCAAAGGCTTTGTCCTTATCACTCTTCACCATCAATTACGGATATATATTGTTAGGCAATCGTCTGGGATGCGCCCTGCATTAAACTTCCATTCAGAATTGTAGTGGCGTATTGAATGCGCATGTGGCCTATACAATCAGTTGCGGTGGCCAACCAATGTACAGTCAGAGGTTTCATCCTTCCAACCGAGTCTGGTACCGATTAACTGATCCTGGAGGGATAGAAGGCTTGGTTGGCCTGAGCGTATATCAATCCAGGATTCGAACTCGTGGCCGTGCGTGTGAGGTATGTAGTACACCACTTCTCACTACACCACCTCTGCCCCTTAGGCAATCTATTAGCATAATAAAATGGCACATCTCTATAAACTCAAGTACATACATTTACGCAAAGGTAGGGCGATTCCGTGATAGTAAGTAGTAAAAGGTGTTACGACCCGATGAAATACTTCTAGAAATCCTGTTCCTCCCTCATATTCGGTATCGGATATCGTCTTTCTTTCCAGTCCCTCTTCTATTCTAAGGAAAAGGCTGCCCCTTCCTCATTTCAGGGAAAAACGTACTGAAGCTAGTTGAACTGGGATAGAAAGAGGCATTGACATATAGAAGGCAAAATGAGCGGCGGTGCCGGTGTCGATTGGCACGATGAGATGGACATCCCAAAAATGGAGTTGCTCAACGCTGCCTATGAAGGGAACATTACTAAGGTGGCTATTATTCAGCAATACTTTTATGTTAATGATGACATATTAAAATAGTAAGCGATAGATAGATTCCCTGGGTTTTCCCTTCATTGTCTTCTAATTAAGAACAAAAATTGAGAGATCCTCTCGAAACACTCAGATGTAGTGAGTCAAGAAGGGGATAAATCAGCCTCCTAGTCTGGAAGGAATGCATAGATAGGTTGTGGGCTCCTGAAAGTTTGTTGATGGGAACTCAATGAAATCAAAGACTTGGGTATTCCACTTATTTCCTTGCTGTTCAGGTTGTCAGGTTGAGGGGCACTCGTTTTACTGCCCCAAAATTTAAGCTCACATGATGGCTAACTCGCAGTGGGGGGTTATGAATACCTACAGCATAGTTTTCAGCATCTTCTCGAAGTTTTATTCATATTTTCAGTCTTTTTTCAAATTTTTCTTGTGCTAGTAACTACACTCGCTCACTTTTCGTTCAGGTAGGTGAGTTGCTTCGAATGGGAGTGAACATCGACTCGTACGATGATGATCATGTAACAGCTCTGCAAATAGCAGCCTTCAATGGGAACAATGCAATGGTTAGTTGCTTTTCTGCAGGGAATAGGGTGCTCTTTCTGGCAGACGATGTTTACGTACCCTGTTTAGTCCAAAAAGGGTAATGGTAGTTGTAAATTTCTCCATTCCATGTCCACTTGTCTAGGAAAAATAAAGAATCTCTCAAAAACAAGCGGAGTAGAAGGTTTGGCTGTTGGTTTTGCGGCATGGACGAGTTGCACAGAGCAGGGGTCCAGTGATAGAGTGCTGTGCTAAGAGACAATAGAAATGGCTAGTGGCTGAGTTGGCTACTTTGGGGGATTACGCACAGATCCAGATCCAGGATGGAGCATAGGCAAGGGTTTGTCAGGTTGATTTGGTAATTTATTACTAAACCGTTAGAGTACCTTTTGATGAGCAACTCCAACAGTCAATCCGTATTTCAACGTACCACCTAACAGAAAAACTTTTCATATGGAGGTCTAAGTTTTTGATTGTAAACAACTTACAGGGTTTATTATTTATAACTGTAGTAGACCTAGAAGTTGTTTCCTTCCTAGGTTACGTACTTGTTGGATGAAGGAGCTGATCTTGAGGCTTGTAATCAAGTTGGCATGACACCATTCCACCATGCATGCCGAGAAGGCCGGATGACCGTCGTTGAGACGCTGCTTCAACGAGGAGCCGATATTCATCGAACAACGTGGGTTACCAGATGTGTGTCTCCCTGTTTGCCGGAGAAGTGAGGTTACGTCAAGAAGCTTTTGATGGTCGTCAACTGCAAGATGTTGATAGAGCTCTTAGAGAACCCTGTTTACTTCTGCAAGACTTGTTTACTATTTAGTACAGAAGCTTTAACTCAGTGAAAACTTTGTGTTCTGTTCTAAATCTTAAAAAAAAGAATTTTGAATCGTTTCAAATGGCCTTGATACTCATTGGAAAGTTGTCAGAAAATTTGAATGAATTCTCGAGAGAGCTTTTCCTCCATGAAATTTTTCAGATTCATGGGAGCGACGGCGCTAACCCTGGCAGCTGCTGGAGGTGTGTTTATACTATCGGTTGAGCTTATCATACTAGTTTCTCATTTACTGCAGAGTATTCGTTTTTTAAACATCCTAGTGCAGACGTAAAGGTGTGAGTAAGCTTAGCGCACTGCAAACTGGTGCAGCTAGGCGAGCCCTGACAAGGTTTTTCATTGGAAGGTCGTGGAACTTACCAGTTAATGCTAACTACGTGATAAATCAACCAATTGGAGGAGTGTGTTGAGGTTCTGCGATTGAATTGCAGTGACCATTCGGCCATTTATCGAACTTCGAGGAGCCTTTTAATCCTATTCTAACCTCTCTGATTTTTTTTTCAATTCCTCTACCAATTACAAATGAAAATAAAAAATTCAAACTTACTGATTGCAGCCCATCTTCATGTCGTTAAAAAGTTGGTGTCCCTTCGTCTGGAAGTCTCGCCTCCAACAATGGGCTTATGTCCGACGCCACTGATCGCCGCTGCTTTTCGAAGTAGCCCTCAAATATGTGGATTTCTTATTCATCGGTATGCAAAAATTGCTGTTTCATAGTTTGCTTATTAGCATTTTTTTGGCTTCGATCTTCTTTGTTGGACACTTCTCGCGTTTATAGGCCTTCAAATTATTTGAGGTATTATGAGGGATTTTGTATCCAAGTTCCTACGGTCACAGAACACACACGGCAAAGGTCTTGCCTCTATGTACTACCGTAAGCGCCACTGAAAACTCGGATTTCACTCTAGGAGCGGAGTGGCCGCGGCATGTCGCATGCCTACACCTAGAGCATGCTTACGGTCTTGTTCCGGACTAGAGCATGCGAGCAGAAAATTTCCTGTTACAACGATGGCAAACGATCATAAACCGAACCTAATGTCATACATCCCCGAGGTCCGTTGTTTCTGAGGGAACCAAACTGTTGCTTGGAAGTTGCTGTGACTACGGACTACGGTATACGGAGCAGCATTTAAAGCTTCGTAAACCTTCCATCTAAAAATTATCAGACTACACTCAATTCCGAGCAAATCTCAGGTAATATGGGATACGATGTGGACTATTCGTTCGAAGAGTGCGCCATGCTATCAACTTTCACATAGGACCTTAGCGGCTTTGAATAGTAACTTTTATATAATAGTTTTTGTTAAAATGATTTGGGAGAGCTCGCTAATGCTGATTCGGGGATTGATCTTGCCCGACGTGGCAATACCTCTCCCTCTAGAAGCAAAATGTTTGAATGGAATTGACGGTTTTTGATCCGAATCCGATTTTGAGCTAACCATTTGATGATTACAGCTCTCCCCTTTCTCATCTCCGTCTTCCAGAGTGATATCCACAAGTGATTCGTGCTTAATCAAATTTTCTATGCTTAATTCGATGTTTTAGGTTTTACCTTTTCTATATTATTTCGGTTGTTATTGATTCGGTAGTGTTTATATTTCTTTATAGGGGAGCGCCGATCGACGAGACCTTAGATTCATTACTTGGCCTCTCGGCACTGTCATGTGTCCTGATGTGCTCTTCGACGAGCGTATTTTGCGCCCTTTTAGATTTGGGAGCGGATCCAACGAAGAAGTTTGTTTTCTCGATCTCGAACTTTCAGAATTTCAGTTTGAAGTGAGCTTCCAGGACGTTAAAGAAGAAGACTGCCGCCGAACTTGCCGAACAGTTCAAACGCCACGATGTGTTGGCGATTTTGGCTGATAAGAGCCGTATCAGACATCATGGTCCCTTTTCATTGATTCTGCTAATAATGGCCATTTATTAGACCCCACCTTTTTGCAGATCGCATAGCCGTAGGCGATATTCGTCAGCTTATCGCCGAAAATCAACTGGACAGTGCGGAATTCACACGTGGCAAGCAGACACCGTTAGCGGAAGGTGCTACTCCACTGATGTTTGCCGTCGCTGTGGGCAATGAGCGAGCGGTATCGTTTTAATACCATTTACAGTAAATCGTTGAAAATATACGGTCGAAACGGATTCAGGTTAGGCGATTGATCGACTTGCGAGTAGAGGTGAACGAAGTCGAGTCTCGTCATGGTCTCACAGCCCTTCAGATGGCTTCGCTTCTTAGGTTGGCGGGTCTATGACTATGATCTCGTTTATTACCTCAACAATGACTATCTTGGAGATAGACACCTCTTGAAACATCCAATCAAGCCTTCCATACCTCCGGGGGAGCGTCAAATTGATATCAGATCGTCTGGGAGGATAAAAAACTGGCTTGTACATCTTCTCACCACTGCAAGTCAGTACATGAGCACTAGTTCTTTGAGCTACTATGATTCGGAATAGGAGTCGAAGGCGCGGCGCATCCTGAAGATGGGGTTGATCAACACCGAAGGTGTTATCCTTCTATCCTTTATTTCGTTTATCGGCGGATGTGGTGTAGTTACTATCAGCACACACGTACATACGGTCCAGGGATCGAACTCCGGTTCGATACTCACCTGAGCTAACCAAACGTTCCATTCATCCGGATTTGGTTGACAGGGTATCTACTCGTCTGGGAGGACAGAAAGAACTGACCTTCACATCGGCTGGCCATCACAAGTCATTGAAATGGCCAGATACGCATGAAAAGTGCCGCCACATTTTTGAATGGAAGTTGAATGCAGGGCGCAACCGTAGACGAACTTTGACCTTCCTTTATTTTTTCAGGCTTGATAATTGCGTGTTTGTTCTGCTAATGAATGAGGCTCGAACCGTAGATCTCAACGTCCTGAATATGTCCGCATTCGACCTGTACTTAACTAGTAATGGTACGTTATCAGTAGTGAGAAGCCGTTTGACCTTTGTTTACCAACAACTTATGACTTTCTGTTACTTTCCATGGTACTAATGTATGAAGTATGTTCAGAGGAACCGGATCCGAGCCTAAGAGCAATGCTTCATACTTGTCGACCATCTCGGCTTGAAGGCAAACTGAATCTGAGTGGTAGCAGTAGTACGCTGTCGAAAGTGCTGACAACAGGAAGGCCGAAGGTCCGAGTGGGCCCATGGCAGGTTTCCGAAAAGGGTACCTGAACGAGAATTTTTTTAGGAGTGGTTGTCACGATTTTCCAGTCAACTGGGTCTCCTTTCTGAATCACAGACTGCGTCCAGTGTTATGGATATGCGTCAATGGCGTGATTATTGGGTACGGAACAGCGGCACGGATGGACGATTTTGGAAGGTATGTGCACATTCGATAGAGCATCTATGGTCCTGCCTATTCTTTCTCCCAATCTGTTTCAGAAATTGGTAACGGCTGAGGAGATCTTGCGGATGACGAAGAATGCGACGCCGCTCAAGACCATCACATATGATACGGTACTGGATGCTGTAAAGAAGATGGCTCAGGTAGGTTCCAACAGTCCTGCTATATGATGCGAATAGTGTAGTGAATAGAGTCGCCACTAGCATCAATCAGCTTAGTCGCTAGATCATAACTTCGGACTTCTCCAATGGAAGCTCGGTGCCCCTAGCACCAAGCTCTTTATTGGAGAAGTCCGGTCGGAAGTTATGATTTCCCCGACCGCTCGCGATACCGTCGATCCCCCACCATTAAAAACGAATCTTGGCCCGCTTGGGACAGCTTACAGGAAATCTGAGATACATACCCATGCCCGTTACAGACCAGTACTGATTTTCCTGACTAGACGAGATCATTCTTTGGGATTTCAGCAATCCCAATCATTTCTCGTCAATTGCTTTTACGATTCCTATGTGGGTGATGTGAAACGAGAGATCGACAATGAAAGTGACAGCTATAAATGGGAATACTATGATCGAGCTCAGATGTATACATCACAATGCGTAGGTTTTTTACAGTAATCTCCTTGTATTTACTCCTGAACTTATGGATACGGTATCAGGTTTCCAAGTAAAAACATCGAATTTAGGGTTATCAACAATCAAAGAGGCGAGTGATCAGTCCCAGAGATTCGATCGTGGTTCATCGGCGAGAGGGAAGCGATGGTACGATCTTATTTGTCTATCTGTCCAGTTACCCATAGATTTATTTATTTACATATTTTCTTTTTATATTTGTATACCAGTGCATTCTTTTTTCATCCATCTATCGAATTATTTGTTTCCGCATTTGTCTGTTATGTATCCCTATTTATTTACATGTTTGCCCCATGAATACGGCAAGTGGTAGAAAAGTCTGAATGACTTCAGTCAATTCTGTCCTCCAAATTTACTATTTACGACTTAAAGGGGTGAGGGCTGGAGTTCATGGCATCGATCAATCCCATATCTGAAATGCGCCGCGCATTCGACCTCTATTCAGAATCGTAGTGGCGTTTGATTGTGTATGCAGTCTATGCGATGACCGGTGCCCAAACGGTGTGCAATTCAGTTCTTTTATCCTCCCATACATGTCCGGTACTGAGCATCCAATCCCGGAACGTTGAAAAGCTTGGTTGTCTTATCGATATATCGCAGGTATCGATCCGGGGTTCAAACCCGTCACCAGGCACGTATGACAGTGCGCCACTTACCACTACATCACCTCTACAAAAAAAAAATATGTGCTCTATCGATTTTTCCAATTTTCGACCCGATTTAGGCAATCGTAAACCTCGATCATTGTCGTTTCTCGAGTCGCCTTCACAGAATCAGATGCGCACGACACCACGAATGCTAAAAAAGTCTCGTGACTCAATGGTAATGGATGAGATGGTACCAAGAAATACTTATGATCAACTTAGAAAGTAGGTCGATTTGGAAGTCTTCCAATCAAATGAAATTCTCGCTTTTTTTGACGTGCTTGAATGACTTTTTCTATTCCTATTTCCAAAACTCCTGACTCTAGAGGGACTCTTGTTTCTAATTTTTTTTTTCGAATTTCTCTTTCTTCGTTCAGGGTTGCTTCAACACCGCTCTTGGTGCAAGTGCCAACAATGCTCAGTACGCCACATTTTCGTTTGGCTTTAAGTCAATCGGATCGACGTCGAACAGTTGAAGGTACTGAAGTTTTACACTCCACTTCAAAAGCTAACTTACAAGTTTCTCTCACGATTCGTACGACTCTTGAAAGCAGCTGCAAGACACGATCTTGATGATTTTTTCACTTTTCTTCCCCTTCGCTAAACCTTTGCTTCCATGCCTTCTTTTGAGCCTCACCACCCACGCCTCGTCATGGGGTAGGCGCGGGTAACGGAACTTCTCCCCTATCGCGGCATTCTCCCTTGCGGCATGCGGCAAATGTCACTGCAATTACCGTACTCACCCCGCCTCCCGCCAATCGATAGGGCGCGATATTTTTCCTTGACTGGCTTGCTTTTTCAATGAATTTTATCGTTTTTTCTTCTGTTTCTTTTTAGTTTTCATGCTTATTAGACTTGATTAATTAAAATGGCTCCTCTTATATAAACGACGATCAATACCGCATTGAAATTGAAGGGAGCGACCAGTCATTTCAAATAATTAAAGGACTCCCTACCTCACAGATTGCGCGCTCCAA